GAACGCCATTGCCCCGAAATTCTAGCTGATTTACTTTTAGAATACAGTGGAGTTAATACATTAAATAAAGGGGCAAAATTCATATAGTAAGTAGGTAATCCTTAAAATTCCGTTTTAAACTATTAAAATAAATCAAATATAAATATTTAAATGGGAATATTATTCCTTCATTAGAAACTCAAATTTGAAATCGATTTTTATTCAATTATCTGTGTAATTTTATACTTTTGTCCACTTCTAAAGAGATATCTCACACTGTCAACAAGAACGGCTTGGCTTTGTCGGTATGCGACAAAGACCAACGGCATTGCCCACACTTTTTAAGTTTTTTTGCCGGCGTGCGGTGTCTTTGAAATAGTGTACCAGGACTAGGCATAAAAATATAAAAAAAATTATATATTATCATAAGGGGTATTTTTCTAATTTTGAGTAGTCATCATAGAGATGCGATTTTCAACTGATATTGGTAATACTTTACATAAAGGACCCATTTGAAGAGGAACAAAAAAGCAATTTAAATGGACGTCAGAGGATTCTGACGTCACTGATGAGTATTCGAGGGAATTATCAACAGATAGCGCCTCTGAAGGATCCTGGTCGTTTCAGTCACTCTCGTCGTGTCTATGACTAATGATACTGTCAAAATTATATTTTTGTGTCTTATTACGCGAGCTTGGTATTTTTTATGGTATTATTAAACTTTGGAGTTTGGTTGAATATCGTATAAGATTTAGTTGACGTGAATAAGCTCGGGTATTATAAAACTGCTTTGAGAGTTAACTTAAAGTTAACTGCTGGAATTACATGTAATTCAAAAAGTTAACTTTAAGTTAACTATCAAAGCAGTTTTATAATACCCGCCCTAAATGTGACAGAGCGTTTTTGATTAGTGCAAATCGCCAAAAAAAAGTTTTCTGACTATCTTCAACCAATGAAATTCGTTTTGACTGGTTTGTGATTTCTGTGAGAACAGGCTGATGCATCCTTAAAACATCAATGTAAATATATGACAGCCTAGATTTCACTCTAGTCAGGACTAGAGTGTTTGGTGCGCGCACCAGTACGTGACAACCACCCTTCCGAATGCCGAAAACCGTGTGATCTTTATCCACACTCTGCCTTTCCGAACGGCAGCTGTGTGATTTTTGTACGACACACCAGGTTCTCGAACGCATCCCAGCTACTACAGGGTAGCCTATCCTCATAAGGCCCGTGTGAAACAAATCTGAACCCCCTCACCACGCCAAATCACCAGTTGTGACGTAACAGGATGTACTTTCTCGCCATGACGTAGGCTGTTTGCACTAAAGGGTTATGATTCCGCGGGCTTTTGCCAACTTTTGCTTTATGCATACTTGGTTTTGGTACATTAATCAACTTTCTAAAACAACTCTTTTTTAGGTCTCGTTTTCATCTTCCTCTTTGCCTATTATGTTAATAAAAATTAAATAATAATTTTCTTCATAAATTGAAATTCTAATCTACAACTGACGACTTAGTTATGACGTCAAAAATGGTGACACACCAATATGGCGGCGATTAACAAAAACGAGACCGATGTTTGAGATCCATTGGCAGAGTCCGCGCTGCACTTTTGTATTTCATTGGGAAAGCAATGCACTGAGTGCTGTTGGTGTGCCACCCGCTAAAAAGCTCATGTCGCACTCAGTGCGGTGCATTACGGTGATGTTTCATTGGTACTGCTTTTAAAGCACGAGAACAGTGTCACTGCAAAACGGGTGTTGCCCTTGCTCTACCAATAGTTGTATTCCTTTCAAGAGTTTGAAACACTCGAGCTACTCGCTCCGGTGTTCAGTCGCCCCCGATTTGCAGGGAACAGATGCGTGGTGCAACAAACACTTTTCGAAAGGAATAAGCGCGTGAAGCCCCGGAGCTGTTCCGGAGCTCCTCCTAGGTGTGAAAGGAATACAACTTGTGCTAGTTTGTGACTTTTCAAATTGCTTTTCCGTTTAAATTTTGCTTTGCAAGAATCAATGATATACGCTATGAACCGTACACGCCCAGTGGTCATTCCCTTGGAAGCTGTGCCCAAGGATAACACACACTACTAGACAACTAAGTCATCAGCGATTTGCGCCAGCGGTCCTACTTAGGAATTTAAATTTATGATAAAACACATCATTTAATTTCGATTTAGATAATAGGGAAAGAGGAGGATGCAAAAGAGATCTAAAAAGGATTTGTTTTACAATGTTAATTAATGTAGTAAAACCAAGTATGCATAACGCAAAAATCCGCGGAATCATAACCTGTGGTGCAAGCAGCCTACGTCAATCCGAGAAACAACATGCTGCCTACGTCACAAGTGGGGATTTGGCGTGTGGGGGGCTTCAGATTTCTTCTACACAGGCCTTATGAGGATAGGCTATCCTGTAGTAGTAGTGTGTATTATCCTTGAGCTGTGCCCCTCTCTTGGATTGGTGGGAGGTGCCAGATTTAGGGCGCGTATTATAAAACTGCTTTGACAGTTAACTTGAAGTTAACTTTTTGAATTACATGTAATTCCAGAAGTTAATTTTAAGTTAACTCTCAAAGTAGTTTTATAATACCCGCCCTTAGGGCTGCTTTGACAGTTACCTTCAAGTTAACTTTTTGAATTACATGTAATTTCAGAAGTTAACTTCAAGTTAACTCTCAAATTAGTTTTATAATACCCGCCCTTACAGTGACTGAATAAACCTTTTCTTACAATAGCGACAATAAAGATCCCGCCGCCATTTTCTTCCTAATTTTAAATAGGAATCTTGAAGTGTGCCACGCCCCCGCCACCATATTCTTGCTCATTTTCAACATATAGGATTTTGAAGAACCAATCAAAAATAGGACGGCTATAATTTTTGTTTTGCCACTGTGGTTAATTGAGTCACTGTACCAGATTTGACGAATGGCGCCATCTAGTTTTTCATTCGTTCACTCTCTATTCGCGAAAGCCCCCGAAGTAGGCGACATCTATGATCAACTTTGGTACTCAAAACTCAGTGAACAACAAAGCAAGTTCGCATTTGGCCCCCGGCATTGTTTCTGGAAGATTTCAATTTTCTACAGAATATTATTCTTTTTATGTATTGTTTTTGTTATATAAATCACAAAAATGCCATAGAACAGAATTTATCAAAAACTAACCTCTAAAAACTGGCTTTGTTGTTCACTAAGTTCGGCAGACATATTGCTATTTTTCGCGTAATTTAGCGCCATCTATTGGTACAGGAATTTCGCCAATTGTCAACGTTGCCCCATTGCGTTGTAAACATTTACAAAAAAAGAGAAATGAAATAAATTCTATAAATGAGTGTTTCATTCATATTATTCAATTATTATACTAGAATTTACATATTTATTATGGCAATATTATAAAACATAAACGGTGTAAATTCTTCTAATAGTTTCATAAACGAAAAATTGTAACTTGTTAAGTTACCTCAAAATCCTTTTTATTTTATAAGCTTGACAACATTGTCAACAACGGCCTCTATCCTAACGGCCATTTTAAAATTTAATTTAACAAACAGACAGAACAGACGCCATTGATTTGCACATTGCAGTCGAATTCAGTACCTATTTAGTAAGCCTGAAACCAAGAAACCAGAATACAGAAGAACTCAGAATTCAGATTTTGACTTGACTACAAGAGCGTGAGCTTGACTGATTGAATCGAATATTCGAATTGTTTTAACGTTATCGTACGAAAGGCGCGTAGAAGTTTTAGAATCAGACTCCAAAAAGGCGTTAGAACAGGGATATCGATTTAGTATCCACGTTGATAAAAAGTAACGTTTCTCAAAGTAAATATCAGATACAAGTAAGTACCAATTTTTAAGCAATAATCTACCTACTCCCAATTTAAGCAATAATAACCCCAATCCTAGGCCCGATAGCATGCCTAGACCCTAACTTTGGTCCCTTTTTTTTTAAAACTAATTGTACTGAACCTAAATCTCCAAGTAAATCCTTAATGCAATGATTTTCGTAACACAATCCTACACTGGTACCCTACAGTAGTGGTGGGTTTTGTTCACACGTCCAACTGTGGCTCTGTTCCCCATTACCTTTGGTCCTTGAATAGGTTATAGTATGACCAATTACAAAAGCAATATTTTATCAACAATTTGATATTTTTATTCATTATGACTTTGTAAGGAGTACCCATCATAAGAAGGGGATAAATGATGAACTTGAAAGTTAAGCTACATCATGGGGGCCCTAAGGCATTCACCAGCAACAGTTTTCTTTCTATTACCTACCAACCATCAAAATGAATTGATTTTTCAATAGAATATCTTTTTTTTTTAAATAATAATAATAATCATCTTTATTTCAAAATTTTGTAACAAAAATACAACAGAAAGAAATAACACTCTGACACTTAATAGGTCTGTTTGTTATCCTCCCAATGAAGTAGTAAGAAGGGTTGGAGTGGCCCTTCGCCTATCTACTCAATACTTGTATTTGCGGCCAACATTAGAGTGAGGGAACAGGAGAGATCCATGAGATTTTCCTGCCTTTACTATTGCTATCCCACTCAGGGTTAGAGTGAGAGATCCGGGAGATTCAATAGATTTTCTGCCCTTACTAGCGCTCTCATTCTGGATTCATTTGAATACCGCAAAGCCCATTCCAAACCTTCTTACAACTTCATTGTATCCTCTACTAATGCACACTAGTTTACACTTTTCTGCACTAAGGCGTTTGTTTACATTACATACATAATAATCGCCTCAGTGCAGAAAGGTGTAAATTAGTGTGCACGAGTGGAGGATAACAGACAGACCCAATATAAGGAAAATGTATACAATGAAACTTCAAGACACCCAAATCAAGTACATGGCTACATAATCATTCAAGCTATAAGGTTCAAGATGAAGCAATAATTTTTTTATGTTGTAAATTTGAGTTTACACATATATGCTGCCTTGTAATTGGGTGTTTTATTTGTAGGACAGTTTCGTAGATAAATAAATAAATAAATAGAAACATCTTGGCGAGGATATTGGTAACCTAAATACCTAGGGTAATGCAGTATTTGTGCTTATGTTATTTTGACATTAAACCTATGTTGAATTCGACTCTTAACACTAGGTGTTGAAAGCTAAAATAACGTTACTGCATCATATAATTTGAGTAGCATTCACAAATAAGACCTATTTTGGATAAGACCTAAAGATTTGCATGTGCAGAGATTTCTTTGGTATAATAATTAGGTTATGTGATTTGTTTACCTATTTCAAATAAACATTTCTGTTTTGTTTTTTGGTGATTGTCAGTAAACCAGTTACAAAACACAAAAACTATTAATTAACAAACAACATGTTGAAAATAAAAATAACCTTGGCCTACTCTGTGTTAGCAGGTAGTCCGGTTTTTGGGGTTAACTGGAATATTGGAAACGAAGATTCTAGGGCTCCAAGAATTTTCTTATTTAAACAGACTGAGTTACAAACTATGCGCCTTGAGTTTATATAAAGCCATTTAATCGAGAAATCTGTAGAATTATACAAACGCTTGTTTATTTAAATGAAACAATGGAACGACTTCTTGAATATTCGCGCTCGGGTCCCAAGAGTGGCGTTGGCTTCTTCGCAACCATGTAAGTTTGTAACAATATAATGTCCAATCCAGGTGCATAGCTATTTTTCATTTCACATGGAATTCCCTAAATCTCAGGAAGATCTGTTGGTTCTAGAAAATTGGAGTCCCAAACTTCCTGTTTTTCATGCTTATATTTAGGAATGGTTTTCATGTTAGAAGTTAGAAGCTAGTTTTTGCCCAATGCTTGCAAAGTTCTCATTGAACAAAGAAGTCATTTTATCTTCCCATTCAACTACATCTCCATCTTGGTTTATAAATCTATTCATTTTCCTGTGCTTTTGTCTATTTCTGCTGCATAGGTTATTTGATGCAACTCATGTTTTTTTGATGTCACCCTGAGCTGAGCTTCATGGATGTATTTGGCTTTATATTAATTTTGTATTTTTTTCTTAGGTTTTACTTCAATTTTCATTTTCTTCAAATTATATTTGGTCCACTTATTTATGTATTTTCTTACATTGAACATTGAAGCTCATCCCTGAGTTTTTTTGTTTTTTTAAGAAGGTATTCATGTTATCCAGTAATTGTGTTGCTTTTTCTTTATTTTGTAGTCTATCTCTGTCTATAGCCTTATCTCTGATTTCAACCAATACTCGAACCAATATTTCAGAAGTCATCATCTCCTCTCTCAATTCTTTTTTAGCTTCCTAGATAGGAAGCTATGGTTATAGCCCGATTTTGACCATGTCAAAATTTCATTAAATCTTGACGTTTTGGATCATTTCAAGCCTTTTTGGCAAGGTGGCACATTTCCGTCTGTGTGTTGGTATTTTTCTGAGAAAACGGCTCGATCAAATTTGATGAAATTTTGGAAATAGGTATAAGAAGACGTGTAGGGAAAAGTTACACAGAGATATAGGAAAAAAAAATCCTCTCAAAGATATGACGTCATTGATCTTTTTTTTAAATGGGAACGCCATCTTTTTTTTCATTGATTGGATAGAGTTCATTTTGCTTTATACAGTGTGTCCCAGATTCGCTTGCCTGCATGACAGGTCTCAATCGTCTTTTGTTATCCCGCAACCCGCCTCAACTTTCATTTTTCTTATGGCCGCCATATTGAATTTTTCGATTTTTGGAAAAAGCATAGAATTTCCAGTCTAGTGATGTGTCACAAGTGGATAAAAGATTTGAGTGTCATCGCAAACTTACAGTTCGTAAAGTTAATGTCTGGCCAACCGTTATGAAGCTACGGAGTAAGGGTTGTTGTCAGGGGTTACTACTCCGATTATTTTTGTGCAACTTCAGGTATCCCGCAGGGCTCCAACCTCGGACCATTGCTCTTTCTATTGTATATAAATAATTTGGTTGATGAAACTAGTGGTACAGAAGTATTATTGTTTGCAGATGACCTAAAACTATATTCAAGAGTTAACAACTACAATGACTGTCAGTATGTTCAGAAAAATTTGGACAAAATATGTCTATGGTCAATTAAAAATAAATTACAATTTAATATTGACAAATGTTTTGTGCTTAGTTTTAGTAGAAGAAAAACGCATTTTAACTATGAGTATACAATGAACAAGAGGGCACTGGCTAGGGTTGCAGAAATGCGGGATCTTGGAGTAATATTTGAAACCCAGCTTACATTCAGAAGTCATATAAATGACATAACAAGTAGGGCATCTAAAATGTATGGATTTATTGTCAGAAATTGCAAAGAGCTCAATATATTGTGTGTTAAAACTCTGTGTTTTTCATATGTGAGGACTATATTAGAATATTGTTCTATAATATGGAGCCCGTGTTATGAGAATCATAAATATAGTATTGAAAAAATTCAAAATAAATTTTTGAGATATTTACACTACAAGGAAACAGGGCGATACGAAATGCATATACCAAAATTAGAAATCATGAAAGCTCATAATATACAAACGCTTGAAGGCAGGAGGAAATTTTCTACAATTATATTTCTTTATAAAATATTAAATAACATGATAAATGCTCCTTATTTGTTGAACCAAATTAAATTTTATGCTCCGACATATAGAACACGAAATCCTTTGAGCTTATATACTGATAATACTCGAACTAATTACTACAACAACTCGCCTGTTATTGTAATGTGTAAATTATACAACCAAATGCGCCTACAATTTGATATGTGGAATTTAAGTTCTGTAAGTAGGCTGAAATTAATACTATATATTTGTACAAATGTAGATTTTAATGTTAAGTTACTCTCTCGGTGACTCTTTACTTTATATTTTTGCTTCCACTTAGGTTAGTCTTCTACCCTACTCTGTAACTGGATGTAAATCTGTAGAGTTTGTAATGAATAAATAAATAAATAAATTAAATCAAGTTGTAAAAAAAATGGCTGTCGGCTGATTTCATCCATAAAATACTTACCCAGGTGCATGCGGAACTTTTTGGAAGTATATCGTACACGAAAATCGACAGACTAAATCACCGCCATTAGATATTTCAATGTAAGTCGATATTTCAAGATGACAGTCATCGCAGGAACACGGATGAGAACATTTCTTCCGCTACCACACCGCCTTTGAAGATGACTACCGCAGCAGTAGACGGAACGAGTATTACTAGACCACGGCATTATAACTTGGAAAAAACTTTTTTACTCTCTGTACCGTTGATTTTGGCACACCAATTTCACGTTCTACAGTTCTTTCTGATGCACTAGGATTTTCGTTGACAGCTAGTGAAATGTTTCTGTCGCGATTTTCATTATCAATATTTTATCCGCTTCTAGGTTTTTCGAAGGCCATATGGTTAATTAAATTAACTACGATTTCTGTGAATTACGTTTTATGAGGCTGCCCTCGTTCGGGGTACATCTCCAAATACCTTGCTGAGGTAATGTCGGCGTTTCTGAGTGACTGCAATTACAGCGCTAACAAGTCAAACCTTTCTTCATTTGAATAAGGAATACCAGCCATTTTCAACAGGTTTCGACAATTTGTGTCTCCAGGTTTATGATTTTAATGGAAGAGAACTTACTATTATTAATAGACAACTTTGACACTATGAATTATTTTATCCTAAACAAAAACATCTAATTTTGTCTATTATCAAAAGTAAACATTTCCTAGACGAACCATCAGCTTTTGTCAATTTGGCAAACATCCGGCCTGGATGAACGTGATTGGTGGAGTTTTTGGCACGATCGCCGTTGCCACGGAAACATGCGGTTGCCATGGGGCTTACGTCTCGCTATTGGCTGGCCAGGGTTCCCGTAACTTTATCCTTGCATCTTGAAATATCGACTTGCTTTGAAATATCCAGTGGCGATGGTTTGGTTATTGTCGATTTTCTTGTACGATATTATACTTCCAAAAAGTTCCGCACGCAGCTGGGTAGGTATTTTATGAATGAAATCAGCCGACAGCCATTTTTTTACAACTGGATTTCCCTTACCGATGCCCCGTTAGTTTCAGAATCGTTGGCCAGACAACTTAACGAAATTTGATTTCTCAATGATACTCAAATCTTTTATCCACTTGTGATACATCACTAGACTGGAAATTCTATGCTTTTTCCAAAAATCGAAAAATCCAATATGGCGGCCATAATAAAAATAAAAGTTGAGGCAAGTTGCGGAATAACAAAAGACGATTGAGACATGTCATACATGCTATCTCAATCGTCTTAAAAAAGTGTCTGAATAATGTCACATTTTGACAGCTGTCAAATCAACCGTTTCCGGTTAACTGGCAAAAAACGAAATCCGTCATTTTCGGTTTTTCGCCGATATTTCCAAATCTAATTGAGCGATCGTTAATCTGGAGCCGATTATCCAATTCTCTTAGCTTTGTCTAGAACTTTCCCCATTTAACCTTTGCTGTGGGTATAATAGGAGTCGAGATCCCTGTATAGAGAAGCGAATCTGGGACAAACTGTATAATCTCAAAAATCTCAATAGGTTTCATTAGGTAGTTATTTATCTAGGAAGCGTTATGTCAAAAATTTGACATCTGGTTTTACAATCCTTTACCATTTTCTCACAATTCTATCATTAGCATTGTTCTTGTGATAGTGTCCTGTAATTTCTTGTGTATATCGAGGTGTATGTACTGTATTACTTTTGAGCATATAGCTCGAGGGGTGTTTCACTGAGGTAATTTAGTGTAGGTTAGGTATACTTGAAAGGAATACTGGGAAATTATACTGTTTTCGGAAATTATGAGGAAATTAAATGTAATTATGATGAATAGGCAATTCCGGTGAAATTGAGACGAAATAAGTGAAATTACGACTGAAATTATGAGCAATTAAGAAAATAAAAGGCAGTTAATTGGAATCTTTGTCAATGCCTGGCGTGCAAGGTGCAAGGAACTAAAACTTCCTCACTCAAGTTCTCCAGAACATTGTCAAAATAGTTATTTATATTCTTTACTGTTTTTCGGTTTGTAAAGCTTGAATTGCCACTGACAAAGTTGTCATTTTTACTACAGGTTGATTGAGTAGTTTTCTCCAAGCCTTCTTTACTCATGTCTAATACACTATGATCTTTGAAAAAAATTCCATTTTCTACCACTTTAAAAAACTTGTGTTTTAGAAGTTATTTTCAAGAACAATTAAAGAGAACGGAAACCTATAATTTCCATTTTCCTTGCTGCTCTGGGAGGAATTTAAAAAAATATTTTGTAGCAAAGACATTACTTTGAAGCTATTTTTGTAAAGGAGGAAGAAAACCTATTACTTTTATCCAAATATTTTCTTTTAGGCTATTTTTGTTAGTCTTCCTTGTCAGTTATAATTTTTGGTATTATGATAAAAATTTGAATACTTCTCGAATATGGACAGTCCTGATCCTGTTCCTTTCTTGTTCTGGCAAATTTGTTTCTACACTGGTCTTTGAAACGCGTTTTCGTGTAAGTACCTACCATAATAAAATTTAAATTATACATGTCTATCAAATTTTCTTAAAAAAACTCAGTTTACTATATTCATATAATTCTCAATATGTTATAATCAGACAGTGAATATCATTGACCCCAACTTGATTTCCTCAATATTTGTTTTTAA